GGGGGGGGAGGAGAGAGAGAGAGAGAGAGTGCAGGCGGGACTAAGTACATCGAGTAGGCTGGAGTAGGCGCGGGAGTAGCGAGTAGACGGAAGTAGGCATGGGAGTAGGCACGGAGTAGCCGTAGGCGCGTCGAGTACCGGCCACCCACAAAACCCTTCCACGAATTGAACGGAATACCAACAAAAAATGTGGGCGGCCGGGCGTTTGAGGGCTGGGTAGGCGTTCGAGGGCTGGGCGGGCTGTTTGAGGCCACCTGGTACCAACCAATACTTTTCCCTGCGAACAGCCCGGATTGCAGGCCGATCACCACGGCGGAAAGCGCAGATCTCAGGCCGATGAGAATTTTCTGCGCCGTCCGCGGTGGAGACCGGCCTGCAATCCAGGCCGGTCCTTATGTCACTTAGTGATTTCTATACTTGTCAGTCAAAAGGAACCAAAACGATGCCCTTCAGAATAGAAGGGGTTCGGCGAGTATTTCTTTTCATAAATTCATATCATACTAAGAAAGAGGGACCACGGACGAAAAAAGAAGAGGCCCACAGAGACAGATGGCCAGCACATGACGGGAAAGTGTATCAACAAGAAAAACTCCCATGAAAGGATTTACAGTGCGAAATTGCCAATGCATCTAGCATCGATTGCCGCCACATTCAGTTCGTTCGGTTGTCATGAGAGAGTAAGTATGCCCTTTAGTTATCCTGCTCATACCTTGATGTGCGGATGAAACACTTCCGGATGGTGTGAAGCCATAAGCATCCGAGCGAACACCAATGCTTCAATCTTCAAATTTGAGTTTGAAGTCTTATCCTGCAGCCGCAGTCATAAGAGGAAAATTAAATCAAAGATACAAAAGAAAAGAAAACGAACAACAACAGCAGCACCACATAATCGTACATGGAAAAGATGTTATCAGCCTATGCGGCAACAATGCAAAGCAAGGAGTCGCGGGCCAAAACCAACGGACAATCACAAACCAAAAGCATTACCGAACCCTCGCACAGCATACATGCACAGAAGGTCCTCCTGCTATGTACACATAAGCTCCTCCTCCAAAACCAACGCAAACTTCGAAAAAAGACTGAGGAAGAATCGACAAAAAGGCTGAAAATAAGGGCTTTCAATTATCGAGCACCGCTATCAACATACTAGCACTATCCGCACTCCAATCTTAAACAGAATGCATCAAGAAGCGAACGCTTCCACACCGAATCTTAAAATTTTACTAATGATTCCAGTGCACACATTTCACATAGTAAGAGGTCTTCATGCAAGAAACAAACTTAATTCCACATCCTGCACTGGTTTGGAATATCAGTACACATTCGGAGAATTTCAGACCCTTCGAACAATCGACTCAGTTCCAGAGAGAATCGCGTTCACTCAACAATCTCAGGACTGGTTACAAAAAGGCACAATCAGGACCTTCATGAATGCTCCTTTATTCTCCCAATGATTAATTAAGCAACCGAAGGCAAGCCAAACATGCACATCCTACAGGATCCCGTACCGTGAAAGTGTATAAATATTACATGTTAATGTTAAATAGTAAATACTAAATACTAAATAGAAAATACTAAATAGTAAATTCTAAATAGTAAATACTAAATAGTAAATAGTAAATACCGATCCTTTGTTTCCATCATTGCAGAAGACATTGCTGCACAACCTACTAAGCTATAAACGAAAGGAAAGAACCATATACACCAAACACTATGGAATCCTGGCAGGGGCGCAGAGTGAGAGGGCACAAACGGAAGGGACACAAAGTGAAAGGGTGCAGATTTAAGGGAAGTGATTGTGGAAGAGCATAGAGTGGAACGTCACAGATACACTAGAAAAACAGTGCAGAAGTGTGTGAAAGGGGACAAACACACAACACATTGCACCAGAGTCGAAGTGTGAAAGGGCAGAAGTATACCACCCACATAAAATTGAGCTTAAAGCAAGGATCATAGATAGCATAGCATCACATACCACATGCCCATAAATAGGCAGCTACCCTAGGAAGAGTGTCACGCCCAGCCAATAGCCCGGCTGGGCACCCGGCCGTGACACCCGGGGGGTTCTGACGCACATGATCCCCTCCTGGCGTGAAAAGAAAAAAAGAACTGAAAAAAAAAAGTTTCTTTTCTGCACTTTCCCACAGGACCCCAAATTTGGGCTCGTTTCTTTTTTTTCAGAGTCGGCTGTCAGGCGGGTGAAGGGGGGTATAAATTGGTTTTAAAGGGGCTAAAGTGGTTTAAAGGGGGGTGCCTTAGTGATATTCTGTTACTTTCTTTTTTATCTCCAATTCTGTGTCGAATTATGATGTGACCCTCAGCCAAAAGTCGTTTGTATTGCAATTCTCCACAACATATGTTTTTTTCTGGAATGTTTTTCTTTCTCTTTTTTGTCTTTTGGAGCTGGGGCTGCCCGGAACCCTGCCTGGGGGTCCTGCCCAGCCAGGCCCCCGAGCGGTGTACCCGGGCATAAGTTGGGTGCCCGGGCGCCCAGAAAAACAGCCTAGCAGCTAGCCCTGATACCCCTCCCGCCCCCCTACGCAGTCAAATGAGCCCAGACACTTTGGGCAGCATGGGGAAAAAATTCAAAAAATGATAATTGAATTATTGAAATAGATATTCCCTATTTTATCAACAATTTTGAATTTTCACGATTCCGAAACGGATAACCAGAATGGGAAACAAAAGAGGGGAGCTGGGAAGTGGGTTGCACAAACATGTTGCAGGAATGAAGTGCTGCTCTTTATCCTCCCAAAAGCCAGATTGTTTTTTGTTTGTTCTCTCCCCCCCCCCCTCCCCGCTTAGCACACATTTTTTTTTAATAGACCAGAGCTTACATTTAGAACCCTCTCAATCCCGGGGACAAGAGAGGGCACATGGTCGGCAAGACTATGCGGAAGAACAGATACAAGCTCCTTGAGTACCCAGAACACTCCGATCTGCAGCGCACGCAAACAACGAGAAGAAGAGGAAGCCACCGTCAGATGACCAAAAACAAACTCACCAAAGCACACCACCCCCAACGAGGCGCACAGTGTGGGTGGTCTTTTCCATATGGCTGGAGACTATACGACCACGCTTACAGGAATTAAGAAAAGAAAAAAAAAAAGCCACAGCCCATTGAACTCGCAGCGGTCATCAGTCAGCTCAAGCCTAGCAAACGACACGGGCTGGGAGGCGTCTCATGCGTCAGTTCGGCCTGGGATTGCACGGGTGAAGTCCTGTCTGGGCCAACCCAACAACTGTTTGGAATTCCCTGGTCAGGCTAAAGAGAGCTTTGACAGTTAAATTAAAGAAATAAAATTTTAAAAATGCAGCACCAATGGTGATTTAAATGCAAAGGACTACACACAAACAAAAGTCCATCAAGTGGTTACAACCATCGAAGTACCCAACCAGCGCAATGGGTGAACCACCTTAAGCAATCATTACCAACAAAGAAGTATGCACACTGGTACTTATGCTGCAAAGGTTACACGAAACAACACATTCAATGAAAAGTCATGCGGAACAGAGAGCTGAAGCATATCACTTATTCCCTTCTCCTTTTCTGGAGTCGTAAGTCGCATAACCAATCAAGCCGTTGCTGTACAGAGGAGGACATTCCATAGCAAAATGGTCATGCAGCATGGGCAAAACCAGGCAAGACACACATCGACATGTCTGCAGGTAGGCCAGAACACCTCTGCGCCCTGAAGCACCTCATCCAACCTGTCAGCTTTCCCGATCTTGGACCACCATACCTAACAGCTTCCAGCCTTTCAGGTCACCGCATTAAAAAATATTTTCCTAGTTTTTTTCCTTTTTGGAAGGGCAGCAGTCTTGAGATATATCCACGAGTGCCTGGCCCCAGGTCGTTCAAGATTATTACGGAAGTTATTGTAATTTTTTTTAATGTCATGATTATTGCTTATCGAGCTTCTGTTATGACAGGTATGTTGAGAGTTTAAGCCGCCTGAAGTATTGTGAAATCGAGGGTATCAACTTACTATCAAGTTATCAACCCCGATAGGCATGGTAATCAAGCCATGGGTGTCCGCTATGATGACCCTGACTGAGAATTCAACCTTCAAATTATTTTATTGGGTGTGTCCTGACTGGCCGCAGTTGGACCTGAGCAGCCAACTGCAGACCTGAGCAGCCACGTTCACCCGTTTCTTTCTTTTTCTTTTTTTCCCCCTTTAACAGCTTTTAGAAAATTTTATCGAATAAAAAAAACGAAAAATACTGAGTGAGGACGCCGCCCGGCCTGCCCGGCCGGTTGGGCCCGAGGGGGCCGCCCGGGTAAACCGGGAGGATCGAAAAAACGCCCAGTCGCCCAGAAATATATATATATATTGTCACACTGTGAATCAGAGCGCAGAAGCGAAAAAAAGGAAGAAGAAAAGAAGAGAATCTGAAACCAGGGTCGTTCTGCGCTCAGTGAGAGGACCCCGAATCTGCAATAAWATTTTGRTTKGGGGGGGKGGGGGKGGGGGGGTTGGTSKGGGKGGGGGTGCKGGGGTTGGGGGGGGTGTCTGTGATGTGGCGCAGATGCGCTTTTTTCTTTTTCTTTTCTTTTATAAGGGGTGTGTGTATACAAGGGGGGGCGACAGAGAGAGAGAGAGAGAGAGAGAGAGAGAGAGAGAGAGAGAGAGAGAGAGAGAGAGAGAGAGGATCCCCTTAACATGGCTCAGACAGCCCATGCAGGCTATCTGAAGGGTCCTCGCAGCCATGTAGCGCAGACCCCCCGACCAAAATCGAGGCAGGCAGTGAATATGAAGTAGAGCACGAGCTGGGGAATATATACTCAAGATTCGAATTCAGGTCTGTGTTTCAGCAGTTATGGGTTGCTCACGTCGCTAGGGCCTGTTGGTCTCTGCACGTGACTCTTAGGCCTTGGCTGCACTACTCATGAAATGTGCAAAATTAGAATGAATCTTCTGCAGAACGTGGAATAATACGCCACCATATGTTTTGTCTTGTGCATTTGGTGAGTAGAGGCCCTTAAAGCCACGGCACGTATTACTAAGAAAAGAAAAACGAGAAAAGAAAAGAAAAGCGAGAAAACAGAGAAATAGTGACCCATAACCTAGATGCACAGACCTGAATTTGAATCCAGACTACATATTCTCTGCCCACCCTCACGGAGTACAAGTTTGAAGTGTATCTCTGCAGGACGTCGGGTCCTAGCTAATATGCTGTAGGGATCATTCCGAAAAAGAGGCTGGACAAAACTAGGACGTTTTTATTTCTCTACTTTTTTAATGCGCCCCATCACTTGTGTGTGCGTGCATGCGCGTCCGGCACCCCCGCGCATGAGATGCGCCGCACGTATGATTCGAACACCTCTCTCTCTCTCTCTCTCTCTCTCTCTCTCTCTCACACACACACACAAAGGGGTTCCGAAAGGGCATCTGAAATCCCCCAACAGCTGAGTGAGCTGGGGGGGGCCGGCCCCCAACCGGGTGCCCTGCCCGGCCAGGCCGCCGGGGACCTCCCCCAGGGCCCTGCCGGTCACCCGGGCGGCCCAGATCCCCACTCAGGAAAAATCTGATTAGCCCTTAGCAATGTCAGCATTACTGTATCCAAAAGGATTTGAACTCTCAATCTGTTTATCAAATTACATCATTTACACGTGTGGTAGCACTGCGTACCGTTAGATCACCAAGCAGGTACATATCATATACCATCCAGTCATACCATTAAACAACCAACCAGAAATATTAAATTCGGGAGATTTAAACTCCCAATCCATTTTCTAACATGAAGACGACTACTCTACGCTGATGATATTGTCTATGGTTCGTTCAGAACAGAAAATCTCCCACCTGTAGAGACTCAAAAAATATCTTAAGTACACACAAATCTAGAAAGGAAAAAAAAAAAAAGAAAAAAAAAAGCACTTCCGAAGTTCCGAGTGATGACACTCAAAATTTCTTTGGTGGCCAGCAGAGCCAGGGATGGGCACAAGTGGTTCTTTCGAACCGATACCGTCACACATCTTAGTCACATGGGGAGCAGTGGTCGTTAAGGTCCGAACTTCAAAAACCACATACACAAAAAGCTCATTCATCTTCCTGTGCAAGGAACAACTTTAGCAGCAATGAGACCCCAATACATGCACATAAAACATTCTATCAGAAAGAGCAGGGCTTCGGATCAAAAAGAAAAAGGCAAAAAAAAAGAGAACGATGAACCCATTCAGAGAAGAGTAGCTGCCCGGCACTTCTATAAAGCCACACATAGAACTGAGGTTCGCACAGCTTGCTAGTACATTTTATAACACTCAAAACCGTAGTTAGTATTCTTCGCTTTTCATGTCAGGACAGCTTAAGATAACCTAAGGCACCACCACTACCAAGCCCATCGTACCGAACTGAGCATTGCAGCCGCCGGTTCCTTATTATTCCTCACCAGGCAATTGTTAACTGAATGTATCCTCAGTCTGATTTTATACAGCCAACGTCAGCCATGGTTTTCGGGAACCTCAGGAAACAGCAGAGGTGTAATCAGCCAATGGGTGACAAACGCAAAATGTACAGTAGTACCTTCGACTTGACGGATTTTTCTCTGAGTTGTCTGTTCAGTGAGCGTACTACTTTGGGAACATCTTGCTGAAGGAGACAAAGGGGGCTGCAAAATCAGGAGACAACACCACCCACAGACAGCATAAAACCCGCAGGCAAGGACCTCCCTCCCTCCCCGGACACACAAGCCCAACAAGAGTCACAGACAGCCAGAGTTCATCAGCCACTGATGCCAGAGTCTGCACAATACCCGGGTTACAAAGCACAGCAACAGGAGGAGACCAGCAGAGCACAAAGAGAAGAGGAGACCGGAATAAAGAGAGGAAGTGGGCGGGGAAGGAGAGGAGGGGGCGGGGGGGGGGGGGGGGGGGGGGGGGGGGGGGGGGGGGGGGGAGAGAGAGAGAGAGAGAGAGAGAGAGAGAGAGAGAGAGAGAGAGAGAGAGAGAATCAATAGGCCACAATACAACAAAGACTATCATAGGCCGCAATGCAATACTACCATGAAGACCATCAGTTTGACCAAAACCACAACGATAAGGTGAAGACGAAAAAGTCGCAAGTACATTGCCTCTCATGAATCAGCATTGATTCATCAACAAAGCAGTGAGAAGAGACCACAATGGTCAAACATGAACAAAAATTCACAAATTGGCCTTTTGATGAAGAAATAACCCCTTTCTCCTCATCCTACTACTAACCTTCACAAGTGTACTCTGCTCATTTCCCCCTGCCCCCAGCACCACTCAGCCAATCAAAGTGTGCACCAAGCTATGCTGACTAATGCTGGTTCTGCGTTGCCTCCCTTGGCACAACTCCAGAAACACTGTGGCAGACATCCAGCCAGACTAAGTGACAGTGGCTGCTACCTCATCCGGACCACTTCAGATTGGTCTAGAGAGGCTGGGGTCAGGAATTCTCCAGATTGATCCTGAACCTACCGAAAGGCATTGCCACAAACTCAGACAGTCCATACCCAGTATGAATGCAATTTTGTACCTCTGGTAATTATTTAACATCACAAAGGAACAATGTCGTCAGACATCCAGAACTTATCTAAGCAGAGTGTGACCGGAGCATGAACAAACAGAGCACCTGGCTATACAACAATAGAGATGCAAACCGCCGGTGGGCACTGCCTCCCTTCCCACCAACCCAGCAGTCTTGCTGCCCTCAGCCTGCAAAACAACCTTCGGCACTACGTTTCCTGGACGCTGGGGTCCGCAGGCCTTTTGACTTCACAAAAAGGTGCACGGCAATACAATACACACTCCCACAGTGTCAAAAGGAAATGTTTTCCAACCATCCCATTTCCTAGCATAACAAATTTCTCTGTTGGAATGTGACCCACAAAAAAGCACCCTCAGCATTCTGACAATACCCCCCACAGCGGAGCAGTACATGTCCTTCAGTCCACAACTAGTCATCAGTTTTCCAACTGCCTCTTCATTATGATTGTCAACATCATCATCGACCATACATCATCATCAACATCATCATCATCGCAATGTCTTCATCTTGTCCCCATCTTCCCGTATGCTTGATCGGGGCAAAAACACGCATGAGCATCAAATTTCCCCCTTTTCATCCCCCAGACCCTCAACACACGGTGCCCATGCAAGCACCCCAGAAATTTTGGCAATCTGCAAAGAACAACCTTATCCATTGGCTGTCAGTTGGTGACTGATGGCAGATTATCCAGTCCAAAGCACTGATGCAATCCCTAACATCGCATGTTGTTGTTGTTACTCAAATGCTCAACATCGTGTGTTGTTGTTGTTATTCAAATGCTCAGCACGCACCTTGAGGAAGTGGTTTCAGGAGCACCTTTTGAGATGTTTCCAGTCTGACGAAGCAGGTCATTAAATGTGTTGAAGATGTCAATCTGCAAACAGAGAACATGCCAACGGCAAATGCAGGAATCAGTCAGGAGCTAGAGCCACTGAGCGATGCCAAAGGGGGAAAATGCAGAGCTGGGGACAGGGAGCAAGGTCCTTCCGGCAAATCCCTGATGTGTTGAAATATTTCTCGAATTTCAAACAGAATTTCAAACGGTTCTCAAAGAAGTCGGCAAGAAAAGGAGATCACTGCAGAAGTACAACTTCACATGCTTTTTTTTCTCATCGATAGAGGAGGATTTTTATTAAATTGCTGAAAAACGGGTTCAGTGTCCCTTACATCAATTACACATTCCATGGCTCCTTCTGTTATGGCCAAGGGACCCTGAAACACTGGCAATGTCGCTTATCACACAACTTCACATGCTTTCTTCCTTAAATCGTCAGTACATTGCCCAGGCAAACTTGAGAATAAAAAAGGAGTCGTTCCAAAAAGTTTGGGGGCTCGGGGCTGTCGGAACAAAGTGGCTGGCGCCACCACCCAAAAGAAAAGAGAAAGTGCCGCGCTGGTGTTTCGGCAAATCTTGGCGTGCAGGGGGAATCCACCTCGTACAAAAGAGGCTCCGATGTACTGGTGGTTTAACAAACACACAAAGAAAAACAGAGTCTTGCTGGACCCCCCACATTCAGCAACTTCTACTTCTTCTTCTTCTTCTTCTTCTTCTTCTTCTTCTTCTTCTTCTTCTTTGTCAATGGTATTCACATCTCATTGTGTTGTGGAGTTCATATTTGCATGCTTTTCCACACATATTCTGAAGAAGAGTCAAGAATCCATTTTTGACCCATCAACACATGCATTTGTGGCAATGTAAACTATTCCGACTAGCTGTCAAAGGGCAAAACCACAACTCTTCCAGGTGTATTTGTACCCACACCCAATCACAATAGTTCTGCTGTGGATCTACTCTAAGCTTCACCAGCAGCAAACAGCACCTGGACAATGGGACACCTACCCTGCACCTCTTACCCCAGCTAGAAATACCAAACATCGACCGATCCTCGTCAGGTCACTCCCTTCCCAAAACACAAAACTGGCTTAGCTGGCTTAACTTGCTTCGCAGCTCCGTCAATGACATATGCCTTCAAGGTCTCCAACCGAATCGGCAAAACCCTTTTTACCACTACATCCAGTTGAGGTCTCCAAACGAATCGGCAAAACCCTTTTTACCACTACATCCAGTTGGACTAAGACGAACGCCCCCCTGGCTATATCTAGGTCTGCATTAAATAATCTCACAGGCAACATCGGGTGGTACAAATTTACTGGGGAAAGTCTGCGCTGGATGTCGAAACCTGGAAATAGACACAGCCCACTGTGGTGTGTGCCCCTAAGAAATCGTAGCCTGGCTTCGGTTGCACTAAGAAGTTGTTAGAAGGCCAATTTTCAGCACCATTCGGACCTCGAGGGTGCAGCGTGAGTACGCATTTGCCAGTTGTGATATGTCTCTTTCAACTGAGTTCAACTGACGGCTCTGACTGTGTGCACATGAGATTAAATCACCGCTTACAGAGAGAGGGGGGGGTGGGGAGAGGGACGAGAGATGTGACTTTTGGAACATAAATCCGCCAGCATTTGAGATATTTCTCTTTCGACTCAGTTCAACTGACGGCTTTGGCTGTGAGATCAAATCACCGCTTCCAAAGAAGGGGACGGGGGATGTGACTTTTGGATCGTAAATCCACCGAACAAAATAAAAATAGGCAAGCCTGCACATAACCTGGGGGGTTGTTAAAATATAGAGGAGACTCAAGGTACATGAAAGGATTTCACACAGTCAGTCCACAAAGCTCGGTCCCAGTTTATCCGGTAGGCCAGGGTCTGTAGGATGAGATCGTAGGTAGGTAGCTACAGTACCTGCAAGTACGTCGAGTCCCTAAAGTGCAATTTTGCAGCAGCCTCCCAATGAAAGTCGAGAACTTTGCCAAAATGGCAATACGGCAAAGGCAGAGGCCGCAGGAGGCTGGTACCGAGCCACTGCAACTATATATTTTGAACTACAGTGCCGGACGGCATTCACTTGTTCATTTCACAGAATTATGGAAGCGCTGCACAAGCTTGTGCAATCAAGCGACCTGGACAAAGGAGCGCAAGGGGAAGCAGTGAATGGCTGCTACAGTCAGCCATAGCCAGGCAAGAGGGAAGAGGTTCCCCAGCCGCAATAGCCATCCACGATCAGCAAGGCACACCGTAGTAGCATTCAGGGTAGATCTAGCACGTCGAGAGAGGCACACCGCAAGAGAGAGAGAGAGAGAGAGAGAGAGAGAGAGAGAGAGAGAGAGAGAGAGAGAGAGAGAGAGAGAGGAGACTATTGAGAGAGACAAAGAGAGAGAAAGAGAGAAGAGAAGCAGACGACAGGGCTGGCGTTTCCTGCATCTGTCTTGTAAACGGGTTTTACTAACGGATTTACCTCTGCACGAGCGAAAATGAGGTGCAGGAAGATAATCCAGAGTCCAGGAGGACCAAGGGGCATGTAAGGATAGATTGGATACCTTGACATTCTCCTCCCTTTCTCGGAACCTCTCAATAATTTTCGGGAGGCCCTGCAGACAGGCAGACAAGGCAAAATGTTACAAGACTAGTTAATACTTGTGCAAGCCATACCACCAACTTGATTGGAAGGCTGAAGGTTCTCATCGACACACATACATCACAGCTCTTAACAACACAACTTATGTAGAGCACATCCACCATCATTATTCAAAAGTCCCGTACCGCTCAAGAGTCAACTCACCACTTCTCGTTACTTTTCCTTTCTTTTGAATATCCTTATGGCCCAGTGGACAACAGATCAGATATTACACTGATTAGAACAGATACCACACTTGATCTTAGCCAAAACCTCGATAACAGATACAACACACCTCATTATATTGCCAAAGGTTAGAAGAAGGAAGAGCCCGAAAGAGACCTTCCTAAGGTCACAGCCATCCAATTAAAGCCACCACTGTTCACTAAACATATTCCACACAGTCCTCGAAATCACGGAAAATGAAGTTCTAGTTCTCTTACCTATTTGGCAGAGTTTCAATGGTAATCTCTTCGTGGAACCCGGTTGTGAAGTGAATATGGTCACAGTTTCCTAACTTATCCAAAAATATCATCACAACTTCAGCATCATCATCAACACCAAGAGGAATAAACAGAAGAAACCTCATGGACACTTGAGGAGCTACAAACAAAACGCCGAGAAACTCCTTTGAATGCCTGAGAATATCACCCTCCTACACCTGCCCTATGAGAAAGACTCCCAAAGTTTCCAAAAATATCATCACAACTTCAGCATCATCATCAACACCAAGAGGAATAAACAGAAGAAACCTCATGGACACTTGAGGAGCTACAAACAAAACGCCGAGAAACTCCTTTGAATGCCTGAGAATATCACCCTCCTACACCTGCCCTATGAGAAAGACTCCCAAAGTTGCAGTTCTATAAGACCAGTGGCAGAGTGAAAGGAATATCACCCTCCTACACCTGCCCTATTAGAGAGACTCCCAAAGTTGCAGTTCTGTAAAAAGACCAGTGGCAGAGTGAAAGGAATATCACCCTCCTACACCTACCCTATGAGAGAGACTCCCAAAGTTACAGAGTGAAAGGATTCTGATGAGGGCTCTCTGCTCGTTTGTCATAACCCTACCTTCATGCTCAGCAAAGCATTACTCCCTCGAAACTTCTCATCCTCATGGAAAATCTTTCAAGTACGGGGTCGAGGAGATCAACAAACAACCTCTGCCCCTCAGGGTCTACTAAAGTCCCAAAATTTTGAATAAGAGAGGGAACCAAGCACACTAAAGGAAAGACATCAAGATTGGCAAGAAGGAAGGGCGAAGTCGTACAAATGGTCAGGAGCGAGAGAGAGAGAGAGAGGGAGAAGGGAGGGGAGAAGGTGAGAGAGGTAGGTATGTAACTCGTCGATTTAAGATTTTACTCCAACCTTATCAGATCTGAGCTTCCCATGAACCACAAGCTGGGGGGGAGAGGCGCAGGGGCAGAAGGAAGGACACAGAACTCTTAGCCTGAAGTCACTTGCATAGAGGGCAAACGTAAAAAGTAGTACAACTGGAAGCAAATGTAGAATGCCTCACCTTATGATACACAGTGGATAGCATTTCTGCTCTAGAACAAATGACAGCAGACAAACACTTGGCTGCCGCTCGCCTGACTTTCCAACTCACATCCTCATCATCAGTGTATTCATCTCCACTATCCCTGCAAGTGGGAGAAGAACAGTACTTTCCTTTAAGCGCCAAGGAAAGACTGACATACTATCGCAAAACTGCGGACTCAAGAATAGCACTTTCCTTTCCGGAACCCGCGAATAGAGGGAATGGACGACTCAAAGTCTGAACAAGGGGAAATGAAAGACAAGGGAGGTAATACTTGGTTTATTGGGGGACAGGGTTCGATAAGGACCAGACAATCGATACATCTGCTTGAATACAGAACCCATTGCTCGTTCCTCTCAAGAAAATTTCTAGTAAAAAAAGATCTGGAAAGCTCGATACCACCATGCTCAAAACAGCTAACAGGAAGCAATATAGATTTACACTAGACATAAAAGCAGTCCATTCACAAGGTAAACAAGTGAGGGTGTACTCACCCGTCTTCACCCGACTAGAACTCCCGGTCATTAGAGCTGCATTTGGCACAACGTTCAGTCCACATGCAGGGATAATGGCGGGGATTTTATTCCAGTGAAGACTGTAGGACGTTTTCAACTGATCTCTGAACATGATTGCAGACATACACATCCACTAGCATCAGCAATAGCAGTCACATTCATATGGAGAAGTCGTATTAAGAGAAAGCTCCCGGATAAGCAAACACAGAAGTGCTTTCCAAATGCAGCCATTTGATTACACCACCAATTCTCTTCAAGGAGGTAATTCTCCACCTGACGATGACAAGTTTCAGGCAAATCATGTTCCAATTGATTCAAAGCACTCCACGCTTACCGCAGGGAAGCATTCGTCTCCTATGCAGCACGGCCCAGGGGGGGTCATGCCCGCTAGCGTATTCATCCACCTACTCTATGGAAGCTTCCAATACCACTTTCATAAGGAGCATTCCCAAGTAATAGAGCTGTTAGGTAGTTTGCAATGGAATGACCAGTGAAAAATACTGCGGAGTCAGTCGAAATGAGGGCTCCAGGTCGGGGAGGTGATCCAGCAACATATAAAAGGGGCAAGAACCAGTCATCCACAGCAGACAAGTATGTTCTCAATGACTGACCCCTCGTATCTATCCCCTTCTCACCGACCACACAAGAGAAAAGCAAAACGAAGAAAAGCTGTTGTATTGACTAGAATGGTTGACCGTGCATCTAGTCGTCCTACCCGCTCACACTTGATGGAAGAGCCGGTCAATCGGCTCACATTCACTAGAATGGCTTATTCATACAGCGCACACACATGCACACCATTAACAGGCAATGATCCAATTGCAGGAATCATCTGGAATTTCCACCAAAGACTACTTCACAGCGCTCAACGCATTTCCAATAGGACTACACACATTAGAGAGAGAGGGAGGGGGAGAGAGAGACAGACAGACTATCCTGGCACTCACTCCTCTCCGCTCACCGGTGCAGACACTTCGCACCTGATCTATCTCCAGAGTCGCCTGGTTTAGGGCACAGGGAGGGAGGGAGGAAGGAAGAAAGAGACAGCCAGACAACAATGAAAAACTCCACCCCCAAACACAGAGGTCTTGGAGAAAAAAAAGAGGCATTCAATCATGTAAACAATAGTAAATTGAGAATAAGATGCGATTAAAAAGTACTTACTCATCTTCTTCATCCAGTTCCTCCATCTCCTCCTCATTATCCTCATCCATGTCATCTGTAAAGTTGGGATCGTAACTCAAATACTCGAGAGCTAAATCTAGGATTGTCTCACAATGTACTGCCACATCTCTTGGGCACCGCAATAGGAAACTCTCTAACGCCTGCAGAACAGCAAGAATTTTGCACAATATACACAATGAACCAGAGTTTGCACAATAAGCAATCGATGTGAACAAGTACACACGAAGACAAAGACAAACTTCTCCGCGAAACAGATAGATGCGCACAAGAACACGCCTAGTCTGTTTCCCCTTCCAGCAGCCACACTGGTTACCAAGACTGTCTACTTTCTTCAGTCAATCTGCTGGATGACCAATCCGGCAGCCACAGATTTTTCTTCCATCCTCGTAGAGTTGACGGGGCCGTCACGGATTTTTGTCTTCAAAATAGTCCTTGAGAGTTCACCATACCACTGTCAAATGACTTGAACCCACAGAACATTCATTTTGCGATTCAACAAGTGACCACCCAGTCCAGTTAACTGTTAGATAATTTTTTTTGTGAGTGTAAACTCAGCTGGAGACTGTGTAATGCTTTGTTTAAACCCTGTGTTTAAACCCTGTGTTCCACCTTGCATAAGGATGGGGCTGCATCACCATGTATCAAGCACAGTTGGAAGGACCGTTACCTGCAGGCTGTTTTCCCTAAGCTCATCGTCATTCTCCGATGCTTCCCGACAATAACCAATAAGCAGCGGAGCTACCTCGCCTAAATAAGCACCGAACCGGTAACCCACAGCTCGGCTGCCAGAAAGGCACACAGCCACACACAAACAAGCAACCACCACAGACCCGACAAAGATACGAAGTCAGCCAACCTACGAACAAAACGTCACACAACAGGCACATGCCATCTGGAACAGACACTGACAGATGAGATGCCAGTGACACAATTATACATACCATCCAGGATATACTTTCACATCCAACCCACACAGCTCATCAGCAGAGCAAACATGTTCCCCCATAGACACAATCCCAGCGCGCATGAACGGCGAGACAGTCCATAGCCCCCGAAAGTGGAGGAATCAAGCACATACCACAGTGGCTCGGACTCTGCAACTAAGAGGATTGTCATCAACACTCAGAATCGCATGCCTCAGTATCGGACCCGACGTCACACAGTGTGCATCGTATAGTTTAATTGGCCGGATTATCTCCAGACAAAGCATGTTTCATGCTGGGACGGCCTGAGAGTGTGGGCTTGTTCTGAACTCTCTCAAGTTCAGTCCAAGCCAGTCAGTCACAGCCAGAGTAGTGGCAGTTCAGGACGTACGGGCATACTCACACAGGACTTTTCAGCTGAATGTGGCAATAGACATGGAGAGATGCAACCACAAAAGTCTCATGTGCGAGCACAGTCTAAACTAAGCCATTACCGCGGGCACTTTTTCCAACTGCCTTAGTTACCATAAACCCCGCCCTAGATCAGTTGGTCCATTGGATTAATAATCCAGCTGCCAAGGTTCTGGTTTCCCTGTCTGCACAGTTGGACCTATTTTCCACTTGCACAGTTGAACCATTTTTCATGCCAGCACGGTGTTTTTCCTGTCTGCATGGTTAGACTGTCTCCTTGCACCTTGCCCGTCAACAACCAGGATGATTAGGATGATTAGGATGATTAGATTAGGATGATTAGGATGATTCAATCACTGATCGTTGGCATGAGAATTCAAGCATATGTGACATGTATTATCATATACGTCTATCACCTGTAGACACCAGTTCCTTTTTCAACCACCATAGTTACCAAAAACTCCACCCTAGATGAGTTGGTCCATCATATTGATGATCCGGCTTTGTTACCAAGGGTTTTGTTGTTCCTGTCCGCACGGTTAGACCTATTTTCCACTTGCACGGTTGGACCAAATTATCACCAGCACGATGTTTTGTCTGTCTGCACAGTTAGACTGCCTTTTGGCACCTTTCCCGTCGACAACAATGATCGCTGGGATGACAATTTCATCACCCACAGCAGAACCACAAGAAACTCACCAAAGCGAGCCAACAGCTTGAATATTAGTGCGGGTGAACTCTGACTTCAGGCTCTTGTTCTTCAGATGTGTTATTACCGCCGATGTAGCTTTCGCAAGAAGAACATCTGACATATTTGACGCTAATGTTGCTGCATCCAGAGACAAACCATAACAAAACAAATAGGTGCTTCAGCACAATCTCTCTCTCTCTCTCTCTCACACACACACACACACACACACACACACACACACACACACACACACACACATTTGGTTTCAATTTTGACCGCTTTCAAACAACCCCACTGTTGAGAGCAATGACTAAGAGGCAATGCAACAACAAGCTCGAGAGGGTTAGTAGCCAACGTAACAATTACTCTCTCTCTCTCTCTCTCTCTCTCTCTCTCTCTCTCTCTCGCACGCACACACACACACACACACGTCTATACATGTTAATGGACTAATTCCCACCATCTCCACCTCTTCCTCCCTCCTCTCTGTTCACATCCCGGTATCCTATCTTCCTTCCCATCTCTCTCAAACTTCCATTCAGTATGCAATCAGACTCGCTTTCTTTTCCACTTCGCATACATGCATGACTAAGAGGCAATGCAACAACAAGCTCGAGAGGGTTAGTAGCCCACGTAACAATTACTCTCTCTCTCTCTCTCTCTCTCTCTCTCTCGCACGCACACACACACACACACACACACACACACACACACACACACGTCTATACATGTTAATGGACTAATTCCCACTATCTCCACCTCTTCCTCCCTCCTCTCTGTTCACATCCCGGTATCCTATCTTCCTTCCCATCTCTCTCAAACTTCCATTCCAGTATGCAATCAGACTCGCTTTCTTTTCCACTTCACATACATGCAAACAGATGGCGATTCACACTGGCGCTTCGCGCCCACTCAAAGCTCAGAGATATGGAAAACGAGAACACAGTTAAGATGCAAAATCACTTCAACAACTATGCCGCATCGCTTGCACACCAACTTTCGTCACTGTGTCCGATACCACCGTTCGCACATACTCAACTCTGGATCACCCTGAATACCACCACACACACACACACACTAATCCTATCTTCCTTCTACAGCAGTTATGGCCGCTCTATCACTACTGACTATGGCTACGATCTCTCTCGTCAGCAGCCCACTTCGTCTTCGGGCAACCTGCAGACCACCTTCGCACAAGACGCTGTAGCAACACTTCCACATGGCTTACGCAGCGAATCAATGAATTGATGGGCGCTGCTCTTGATTTATACTTCTGTTTGCCGCTGGTCTGCCGCTTTCCACCAGGCCCTGGGTGTGCAGTCCCACACGGTACTTGCTTGACCGGACTCCGTACGACTGGCACTGGTAACCCTGACTGCATGAGGTCGCACTGCCGACCCAACGCAGTTGGACTTGCGACTCACCTACAGACCTCTAGCCTAGCAGTTTCGACCTCTACACAGTTATGACCCCTACTTGACAGACCTAAAGATCGAACCCCTTCATCTACACAGACCTACGACAGACAAACAACCAACTACCGAAACACAGGTCACGGGTTCAAACACTCGGGGGTCAACTCGATACTGTACATGGGTAAGGTGAGGTCTGGGGATCGAACTCTAGGGCCTGCATCTGGGACTGCAAAAAGGTGAAAACCGTTTCAAGTGCAAAGATTACATCTAAAAGTTGCCGTTGATGGACTCTTGATATTAGTTAACATATCAAAAAAAAAATACCTTCGCCAATACGACATTGCCCCAAGGTAAACGCTTGCAACTGGGAGACTGTCCCAAAAGAAAATGAGCATGTCCAAAAAAACAGCTTCGCCAATACATCTGAAAGTTCTAAGACCTCTTATCGGCATCCCTGACTACCACAGCCAGTCATGCAGTGCACATTGGATGAACTCTGCACGAGAATTCCTCATTAGGGCATGTACAGATACTATGACAACACTGCCATCAGTTGTAATAGTACATGAACATGTTTATTCACAAAGCAGAGTCTTTGCTTGGTGATTTGTGTGCTCACCCTAAGCAGGTTTTACTCTACACAGCCTGGACGAGCAACTCCCTTGGATCTTTATGCAATCAAACAATCAGTGACAAGATTCGCCATGACAGTTTTTAAGACTTTTGGCCAAGGGTCACCTTAGAATTCCTCACTGAATAGAAAACAGAGGCACCCCCTTTAAACCCCTTTTGTCCCTTTAAAACCTAGGAAGATTGTCACGCCGGCCATGCACCCGGGTGTGTTGCCCAGGGGGGTCTGATGCCCGGGGTTCCCGTGCGTGGAAGAAACAACAAGTCACCTTTATTGACCTTTTGCCCTAAATTCACTAGTATCACAAAATTCAATCATTTGAGACGCGATTACATGATTCGCCAAACATGCTAACTCCCATCCCATTCACAGCTCGTAGATACAACCAGTACCGAAAGGAAATCACTCAGAATGGACGGATGGATGGACGGAGAATCGTCTTTTACCTAAACATTGTGTCACGCGCTTCCGCAAACCTGCAAAATTAGAGTCCAGTTTGTTCAGAAGTGTTGCAAGGACTCGCTCATGGTCTGCCACCATGAGCACACCAAACCTATGGAGCAAATCACAAAGAATATCTAGACACTCGCTCTGGACCTCCGTTGAAGATTCCTGCAATTGAGCCAAGCAGAACGAAAACAAAAACAAACAAAAATTTGCAGAAACATGTCAGAGTGAGTGTCCCTGTTCCACATGGGTTTTTCCTTTTTCCCCATCCCTTTCCTATGAGCTCAACTCTTTAACTTTTCTTTTTTCTTTGGCTCAACCCTAACATTCTTGCATTCATTAGGATTGTTTCGAGCTCATGACCTGTTCAGTGACAGTGACCTGTCGAGTACATTACTCCAGTGAGTTTCTTACTCCAGTGAGTTTCTTACTCCAGTGAGTTTCTTAATGTCCGAAGCAGGTCCAGCTGTACCATCCCGATTGCAGATCATACATCGGACCACCTTCGACTTGCAGATGCGGATGACCAGATGACCACACACGTGTAAAGCCCGACTCAGGCACGTTGCAAAACTTGTTGGGCCTCGTTTGTTTTTATGAAGTCTTCGCAAACACATTTTCCTTCGCACTCAAGGGAAAAACAGTATCACTGAATCAAAGTCATTTTCCCAAAACCTTTTCCGCTCTCTCCTTTGTTTTATGCAGGGAAAAGCCTCCCTGTCTGGAGGCCTCCACCCGATATCACCACAGAAGATCCCTTTGGCGATACCAAATCTTGGTCCTCTTCTGGTTCAGTGAGATTTAAGGGATCTCGTCGTGTTCAACCAATTATGGCGCTCAAGCTACTGCTGAGAATGTACCACATGCTGCAAGCCCAAACCCTTAACGCCACCTCATCAAGCAAAAACCCGAAGTGTGGGCCCAAACTCGCAGAGGGGGTGGGATTCCCTATCTTCTTCACAGGCACAACCCCGATTCTTTTGGCGATCCCAAATCTTGGTCCTCTTCTGGTTCAGTGAGATTTAAGGGATCTCGTCGTGTTCAACAAATTATGGCGCTCAAGCTACTGCTGAGAATATCGCACGTGCTGCAAGCCCAAACCCTTAACGCCACCTCATCAAGCAAAAACCCGAAGCGTGGGCCCAAACTCGCAGAGGGGGTGGGATTCCCTATCTTCTTCACAGGCACAACCCCGAGTTATGGGGCCATCTAGACAAGCAGACTCAGGTTGGCAGACAGAGGAGACCAGGACCATGCTGCAGCGACCCCGACATCAATATGCCCAATTTCCCCATGCTGAAGTGATCATAACCCCACTCCCGCTGCTCACAGGCGGAAGGATGCTCTCTGCTTTCTGACCAAATGTAGACAGCTCGTGTCCTGGACACATATGGATCGAATCCTGACGACACTCTTTCTGAGGCAGATCCAATAACAAAGGATGACAACACTCTTTGTAAGGCAGATGCAATAACTAACGATGGCGCAGGGTATATAACCACACTGTTGGAACGACCATGCAAGGAATTGAACCGATGATCTTGGGCTAAGCAGCCAGAGGCCTTAACCACTGCAAGCGTGACCCGGTTGTTTAAAAGTGGCACCAGACCGTCTTGATATCCACTCAACCCCTGCAAGGTTCCAGTACACGCACACACACTCTCTCCACACGGCATACATCGAGATCCTCTTGCAGGGGACCAGCCAGTTGAAGTACATTGACATCACGATAAGATCAACCGATGACCAGGGTTGAAGTCCAATCACCCACCAGGATGGATGGACCAGTGTAATTCAAGTATGTTATGATGAGGTTTTCCGCGAGGGGTGGTGGAGGGGGGAGAAGGGGAGAGGTGATGAGAGGGGACTGCTTTCAGACAAGCGAAGGACGTGAATACAACATGTCTCATGGGATAGATAGCAAACATTATAAGCTAGATCTATTATGATAATAACAGATAAGCTTTGATTGATGACTAGGACCAGATCGACCCCGGGATAAATTGGCTGGATGGGACCGCAATCAACCTTGAATGACAGGAATGAAAGTTACAGAAAGACAACTGTGCGGGTGTGAAAGCAACAACAGCAAATAGCTACAGGAACAAATAGCTTGCTGGATGTGAAAGCACCAACAAAAAGCGGCAGCAGCAGACAACTTTGTGGGTGAGAAAGCAAAATCAAACCATTAATATAGCCGTCCATTTACCGGGGCGCAGATGCCATCTGTCAGCTTGGGAGTGAGGGCAACAACCACACACTGCGCCACTGTCCCAGTAGAAATCTCTAGGACTACTTTCTTCAGAGCAATGCTGGCAATATCACGCTGTTGGTCTTTTCCCGTCAGCAATTTTAGGCACAAGGACTCCACAATATCCACCACCCTCCCTTCGTTCACCTTCTTCACCAAAGGCGACAAGCTGCCACACAAGCCACCAGATCAAATCCATCATAATGGAGAAAAAAAAGGAAAACCTCATCAGCCACATATAGTACTACCACACAAATAGCAAATTCCATGTGCATTCCGCACTGATACATTTATTCATTTTTGTTCATTCATTCACTTCATTCCTTCATTCCTTCCTTCATTCATTCATTCATCCACGGCATGGACATCGCAACAGTTAGGCTAAATTTCTGAAAAGACACCTCTGACATGACCCTCGGACGCAAGGTCTTCTTTTTGTTTTGTTTTGCTATTTTACCTTTGTTTTGCTTTGCTTCGCTATTTTACCTTTGAACATGACCCTCAGACGCAAGGTGTTCAGAGGGTTTGGACGCTCGTTCGCATTTGGTCACAAGCGTTCGGGTTCGGTCACCAAGTGCAAACACGATGCTACGCAGCTTTCAATTTCCTGCATGCCAACAGAAGCAAAACGTCTGGAAAAAAAAAATAGAGGGAGACAAAAAATGACCAGGTCAGGGAATTCGGAAAGTTCAGCACCGAAAATTGCACGCTTCATTAACAGGAAACTCTTGCCAAAATCCTTTTTTTTCTGGCTTGTTTGCTTTTTTCGGTTTTGGTTTTTTTGTGGCCTGTTTGCTTGTTTGATGTTTCGGCTATATGATTGCTGTGACTTAGAGCTGGTGAGCCGTGTGATGGGCAACAAAATTTCACACGGCTCGGAGGGCACTTCAGTAAATCTGTGCAAATCCCTTGTGATAATGCCAGAAGTCGTTTGGATATACGATTTAACCTTGTCTCTTTTATTTCTTATTTTGGGGCGACGCAGCTCAAAATTCATCCATTTCAAAAGTAATTTGTCGTTGAGCTCAAAATTTTAAGAATCCTGACCTTAGCGGGTTGCCCTGATTTCCCAAAACTTCGTTTTCACAGATTTTAAACCACCAGTACCCCGCCCAGCCAAACTTTCTTCACTTCCTGAATTCAAGGAGGATGTCGGCAGCGCGTCGGCAGAGGCTTGGTCCAGCCTCAGCGGTCACTCGTTTTGAAAACGGAAACTAGCGACCAGAGAAGGCGAGACTGAAAAGAAAAAAAAGAGAAAACAAAAGCGAAGTTGTGGGGTAAAAAAGTTGTTCTGCCTCTGATAACGGCGCGACTGGTGTGCTGCTCCTCCCGAAATGGCGCCGCTTCTGGCCCATCTGTCATCCTCTGTGCTGTACTTCCCGTAGTGCAATCAGAAAGTGGAAAATGAGAACGGATCTTCCCTAGAACACGGAAGAATACAGATAAGATCAGTTCGGCCCTGCAATGAATCTTCCCTAGAGTGCGGGAGAATACAGAGAAGATCAGTATGGCCCTGCTCGAAGGATGACACAGATGAACCGAGAAATGGTATAAAAAAAAAGAAGAGAAAAAATGGACGCACAACACATTGATTTTTGTCCTTTGTGCTCGAATCTCTTGACGGTGTATAGTTCCATGTTCTAGCTGAAGATTCATTCNGAACACGGAAGAATACAGATAAGATCAGTTCGGCCCTGCAATGAATCTTCCCTAGAGTGCGGGAGAATACAGAGAAGATCAGTATGGCCCTGCTCAAAGGATGACATGGATGAACCGAGAAATGGTTAAAAAAAAAAAAAAGAGAAAAAACAGAGACTCGCCTGGGGCCTTGCTGCCCTGTGCAAGGATGACATGCATAAATCTAGAAATTGGGCCTCGCTCCACTGCTCTCCACAGGCACAAAGGACAAAAAATATGACGGTGTATAGTTCCATGTTCTAGCTGAAGATTCGTTCTCATTTTGCAAATTTGGAGAGTAGCATCCAAAAAGGGTGTGGCTCCACTCCTCACCAAATGTGCAAAATGAGAATGAATCTTTACCTTGAACATGGGCAGATACACTGCTACATTTTTGGTCTTTCATGCATATCGGGAGTAGGTCCAAAGAAACGAGACAAAAAGATATACAGCGCCACGACTTTTGTCGTTTGTGCTTAGCGCTGAGTGTTGGAGCGAGGGCCCTCGTCATACAAGATCTGCAAGCTGCCTCTCTGCACGAGTTTCGAGAATGGTGAAACGAGAATGAATCTACCCTTGGAACACAGAATTATACAGCAAAGATCAGCATGGCCCTTCATGAGAATGACGACTTCTGCCAGTCGTCCCCTGACAGCTCTCCAACAACAAGCGCCTTGGACGGCACCTTTGGAGTAGCAGCCGCCCAATGGGAGAAAAGAAAACGAAAGGAATAGAGAAAAAAAAAGGAAAAAAAAGAAAAAAGAAAAGAAGGACCCAAAAAAAAAAGGAAAACAACTGGGACAGAAATACCGGTAGCCAGCGTTTAAGGACCGGTCGCCCACCATGTCACTACCACTTTCCAGCCGCATTCCCAAATGACGAAGAGGTTCGGTAGCTTGCTAAAACCGATGTCCGGGAAGGCTGCTTCAGGGGTACTGGTGGTTTAAGTAATATCCATTACCCATCTATGCATTTGGACCTGCGTACGGGACCCCTACACGCTTACAAAACTTGTCCGGTACTTCACAGCTAAGGTTATTTACGTGGTCTCGACCTTCTCTTGGTCCAGATTTCTAGAGCAGGATCAATCCAATGGGACTACCGTCTTCATCCGAACAGAACACCCGGTCATTATGGCTGTATTTGGCACAACTTTCAGCCCAGATACGGTGATAATTACCAGGCGTTCTATTCGGGTGAAGACGGTAGGCTAGGTTGAGATTTGGACCAATACCAATCCATTGAAGTAACCTAGCAGAATCCAATGGGAGTACATTAGGTTCATTTTTTGGACCTAGAACGATCCAATGGGAGTCGGTTCGGTTCAGCTTTGGACCAAGAATGATGCAATGGGAGTACCTTAATTTCTTTTTTTTTTTTTTTTCAATCCAGGAAAGATCCAGTGGGCATATGTTAGGTTCATTTTTTCAACCAATAACCATCCTATGGATGTGTCAGCCTGTCAGGTTCAGTTTTGGACCAAGACCGATCTGCTTTGGAACAAGAACAATAAAATCAGGTTACAATAGGTTCAGTTTGGGACAAAGAACAACCATCCAATGGCCGTTTTAGGTTCAGTTTTTCGACCAATACCGATCCTATGGGTATAAGTTATGTTCCGTTTCCGGACACATCCAACGTGACCTACTCCAGTCTCACAAGGAGCATTCCCCGTCTGGTCCAGATTAGGACGCTCTTCTCAGTCTGCTGAAGACCAACCCCAAGCAGAATAGTCCTCCGCAGGGTAGTGCAGTCTTGCCTTGAGGTTTGGCGTAGTTAAGCCGCGGGTACACCACCCCAGCCTTGCAGACAATGTTCCGTCGGCTACTCCGAAAACTTCGCACCTCAGGCCGAACGGACCACAATGGCTGGCAGCGCCAGCCATAAAAGAGGGAAAGGGAAAAGGGTAGCGCTGGCTGTTCGGCAAAGCTTGGTGGGCAGTGGACCCCACCTGCAGGCCAGGGTGTACTGATGGTTTAAAAACGTTTTAAACCAGCACTAACCCCCGTCCTGTTTTTGCCAAGCATGAATTTCAACGCACACCAAGTTTTGACAAGCCTGGGTCCCATGGTATTTTCTTTCCTGGTACTCACGGCAGTTACATCCGAAAAAGAACCAAAAAAAAAGAAGAAGAAAAAGAAAAAGAAACGTCCGTGACGCTGTCATAGCCATCAGATACATTCTACGAGGTGCTAGTGAGACTGCGCCCTCAGTGAGGGCGTCTGTCCGATGAAGAAGAAATGAAGAAAAAACAAAACAAAAAGCATCCCTTACGCTGTGATTGCGGTCCGATACAGGGAGGCTACAGTCCTAGCGTGAGTATGAGGTGAGTGAGGCAGTTTGCTGCCCCGCGTGGAATCCGCCCTGCCTCACTGGCAGGGCACCAGAACGACACGAAAAGAAAAGAAAAAACAAAAACAACAGCAATCCATTCCAGACATACTGGCCAGATACATCCTATGAGATGCTAATGAGACTGTGCCCTCAGTGAGGGCGTCTGTCCGATGAAGAAGAAAAGAAGAAACAAAAAAAAAAAAAACATCCCTTATGCTGTGATCGCGGTCCGATACAGGACGCTACACTACTAGTGTGAGTATGAGGTGAGTGAGGCAGTTTGTTGCCCCGCGTGGAATCCACCCTGCCTCGCTGACAGCGCAGCAAAAGTGAAAGGGCAATAACAACAGCAGTCACGTTCCACACATAGTGGCCAGATACATTCCTCAAAGCACTGGTGTGACTTCCACCTCGGTGAGGGCCTTCCCAGGTGTCGCTGGATTCAAAATTCTTTTTTTTTTTTGT